GATTTGTTGTGATTTGACACTGGCCAAATGCCAGGCACCCACAAAAGTGCTCACTCACCCTCCTCTGCTACAGCTAAGCAGAGGAGAGAAGAAATTATCGAAGAGTCTGTGAGTTGACATAAGGACTGGGAGAAAATACTCCAAGGGCAAAATAAGCTCAATTTAGAGATACAAATTGACTTTTTTACTAACAAAATCAGAGGAGGATAGTGAGAAGTAATATAAGACCTTAAAAGTGCCTTTTCTTCCCCCAGCCACTTCCTCCTTCTCACCCACAGCACAGGAGATAGGGCATGGGTTTTTGGTCAGCTCATCACCCAAGGTTTTCTTCTGCTGCACAGGGAGGGAAGTCTTTCCCCTGTGAGACCATGGAGTTCCTTCCCATAGGAGACAGTTCCCTGTGAACATCTCCAGCTTGGCTCCAAATCTAAGGAGCAGCAGTCCTCCCAAAACTATGTGAGTCCCTCCCATAGGCACACAATCCTCCCAAAACTGCTGTGGTGAAGGTCACTTTTCCACAGGGTGCAGTCCCCCAAGGACAGGCTGCTCCATGCTGGAAGCAGGGCCCTCTCTCTGGTGGGTTTCCCACTAGATCACAGCCTCCTCCAGGCATCCATCCGCTCTGGCATGGGCACCTCCCCATGGGCTGTGGGTGGATCTCTGCATCCCCCGTGGATCCCCAGGGGCTGCAGGGCACAGCTGCTTCACCATGGGCCGCACCAGGGGCTGCAGGGGAACCTCAGCTCTGGTGCCTGGAGCTCCTCCTGCCCCTCCTTCTCCACTGACCGTGGTGTCTCACATGTTCTCACCTCCTTGTCTTCTCTGTCTAGAATTAAAACTGTACTCCTACCTTTGTTTTGGTTTCTTCTTAAATATATTATCACAGAGGCGTTACCATCATCTCTAGTTGGTCCAGTCTTGGCCAGTGGCATATCCATCTTCAGAGCCATCAGGGACTGGCTCTGGCAGACATGGTGGAAATTTCCAGCAACTTCTCACAGAAGCCACTTCTGTGGTCTCCCCTGCTACCAAAAACCAGGCCAAAACCAGCTTTCTTTACTTAATCCCTGGCAGTTCAGACAATCTCTCAGCACTTCTCCCAGGCTACCTGCACTTGTGTCCACACTCTGTGTGTTTCCTTGTTGTGTTTGAGTTTGTCCAGGGGTTCCTTCTTCATCCATGCAGGTCTCCTGGCATTTTTTGCCTGATTTCCTCCTTGCTGGAGTGCATGCTGCTGAGCTTGAAGGAGGTGATCCTTGAATATCAACCAGCTTTCCTGGGCTTCTCTTCCCTTCAGGACTTTATCCCTAAACATCTCTGAAGAACCCAAGATCTGTCCTGAGGTCCAGGGTGGTGGTGAACTTGCTTGCACCTTTGTCACTGTCCTATAGATCTCAAACTCCACCATTTCATGGTTACTGCAGCCAAGACTGTTCTGGGCTTTACATTCCCCACTGGCCTCTCCTTCTTGGTAGAACAAGGTCCTGCATAGCACACCTCTTTTTCTCTAATCACTTGGAGACAGAAATTATCATTGTGTTCCAGAGACCTCCCGGCCTGCTCTATTCTCCCCCAAACAGCTACCAGGGTGGTTTAAGTCCCCTCTGTGGCCCAGGCTTGTGAATGTGAGGCTGTTCCTATCTGTCTACAGAAGGACTTACCTGCCCAGTGTCCCCGGTCAGGCAGCCTGTAGTGAACCCCTGCTATAATGTCACCTGTCCCTGCCTTGGCTCTAATCCAGATCCATGAGCTCTGTTGGCTCTTCATCCAACCCACTGCAGAACTCCATCCACTTCAGCATAGCATCCTTGGTACAGAGAGCAACACTCTTTCCTTATCTGTCCTGCCTGTTTTCAAAAGAGCCTGTAACCTCTCATTCTAATGCTTCCCTACCATACCACCCTACCATATCTCTGTGGTGCCTGCCCCTACCTCCTCTCGTTCATTCCCTGTGCTGTGTGTGTTGGCACAAAGGAATTTAAGTTCAGTTGCTTATGAAACTGACTTACAGGCTGGAGTGCCAGGAATTCCTTTGTGACTTTTCATGGATTCTCCTCCTGACCCACTCCAAGTTCTGGGCATCTCTTGCTGCCTTGCCACCAGACTGGAAAGACTAAGAGAGACTGAGGTTCCCATCTCCCGACACCTTGAATTTAAAGCTCTCTTCACCAGCCTGGCAAGGCTGTGGTTGAAGATGCTCTTCCCCTTCTCTGGCAGATGGACCCCATCAGCCCTCAGTATGCCCAGTTTCTCAAGGTGTGTCATGTCGTCCAAGAAGCTGAAACCCTGACTCTGCTAGCAGCTTGTAGCCATTTGTTGATTTGCCAGATCTGACTGGCCCTTTCAAACATCTTCTTTTTCAGGGGAGGATTAATGAAACAGCAGTGTCTAACAGTCAGTGAGTGGAGTGTACAAGGCTCAGTAATCTATCAGTGACATCCCTGCTACGACTCCTCAGTAAGCACCAGCTATCTAGAGTGTCAGGTCTCTCAGCACCTCTGAACCTCTCAGAAGACACCTGCTGCTATCACCCTCTGCCTTTTCTTAGTTGTGCTGGCTGTAATGTGGGACCAGATGGGGCTGCTGTACTGGTTGTTACACAGGGAGCAGATGGGGCTGCCTTACTCAGCTCCAGTGCCTCTCGTGATGTGACAGGTCTTTCCCCTTCGGTCTGCAGAGAAACAAACTGGTTATGCAAGAGCACTTCAGGCTTCGGGGATGTCTCTTCCCCCTGTGGTCCTTGCTGTTGCAAGCTTCTATTCTTATGCATTATTAGCCTCCTCCCTTCCATGTGTTCTGGTGAGGGAGTTTTTTTGGCTGTTTGGTTGTTGCCTCATGGGGCCACTGCAGGCTGAGCTTGGGACCAGCTATCTAACACCTTCTCTCAGTCTCCCTGATGCTATGCAGCTTTCTCACTGCCTTCTGCAGCTCAGCCACCTGCTGTAGGAGGTGCATTACCTGAGCACATGTTCTGCATGCAGGTCTGCTCTCTGTCTCTGCCCCAGGAAAAATATGTATTTTCCTGCAATCTGAGATCTGCCCCATCTGTTCTGGTGGTGTCTGCAATTCCCACCCAGACAGAGCTGCTGTAGAGAAAGGCTGCATTGCAGACCTCAGACTGCAGCCACAACAAGACTGTGTGTCCCCGCCTGCTTCAGAGGGCTTCTCTCTGATCCACTGCTGTGATGAGACCGGTGACATGACTGTCCCATCTCCTCTCCTTCAACTTCACAAAAACAGAAGGGTTTAGTGAGACCAAACCACTGCCAGGACCATTCACCTTTGTAGGAGGCCTTCTGCAGGTTTCCAGTGACACCTACAGACCTAATGGTAGAGGTCTCTGCTGGTGATAGTAAAAGATTTTAAAATCACAGAAAATTCAGGGAGTTAGAAAGAAAGTTAGGCTTGGTAGGCCCTGGGAAAGTGTTAAAGGTAAGCTCTGGGAAATGTTAGGACTTGTGCTTGCTAGATCATGTGAAACTGCTAGACTACTATCTGTGTAGTCAGTATATGATAAATTATATAATTGTTAGATGTGATTAGATATAATTATTGTTTAAAGAATCATGAGAAACTGTTAGGGGTTTGAGGGGGATCATGAGAAATCCATGCTTGGATGAAATCAATGTATACAATAGAACAATGTTCAGGTCAAAACCAGGTCAGGTCAGATTTGGGTCTGTGTACCCCTGACACCCAGAACTCTTTTACAAAAGCACCTACATATAATCATTCCGTGATTATGTGTTCCTGAATGCTAACATTGGGATCATGGAAGGCCACTCCTCTGGCAGGGAAAGGACATGGGTCCCCAGCATACCTGGCCCATGCTTTACCATCAAGACCCCTCTGTTCTGCTAAGATTTCAGCTTCACATTTTCCATAGGTTTTTGCAGGGAAGGGCATCTGTAAGTGAGGTGTGAGATACATGAGTTATACAGTCTTGAAGAGAACAGTACACAGCAGAAAGTCTACTTCAGCTGTGGTGGTAATTACAGACTAGCATGGACACTTGAGCTGCTTTTGTTCTAAATACAAAATGTGAAGTTAGCTGAGCCAGCAGGAAGAGATGCAAAGTAGGTACCTGCATGAACTGCCTGGCCTCACTGCTGGCAGTGCCATCATGCCTTTATGGCATGCTGTCAGGATATGACAAATCATACAGTGAGGGAGCAACTACTCATTAGCAATCTAGAAAGTGTCTTACACACTTCTATGTCTCATGAATTAGTAGAGAGAAAAGTCTCCCCTTTTCACAATCTCTTTGATGTGCATAGATAAAGATAATAGTGTCTCAGTTGGTGCAAGCTGACCAGGGGAACAGCAGATTTCGGAGACAGTTGCTAGCAGTATCTCCTTACTCCTTTAACCTATCCTAAACAGAGCTAACCATAGCTTAACCTACAGCTAATTTCACACCGTCATTTTAAGAATCTGAGGTTATAATTAACACATTGTCAGTGTAAGCAGAAGTTAATGACATCTGACAAATACAGGGGCCTTGGCTTTGTGCCGCACAGCAGATCTGACGCACCTTTGCATCTATAAAATATGTTTTAAAAGACTGATACAATGAGAAGAGATTAATCTTTTCTTAAACCACCCTTTATTAAAAAACATAAACATTTGTAAATATATAAAATTATAAAATATCAAGTGCTTCTTGCTTCCCAGTACAACGGAATTCAGAAGTGGCAGGTAAATTTAGCATTAATCTGTTTGTTGTGTTAGTTCCAGGGCTGCAGAACTGACCATCTAGTTTTGCAAAAGACAGCTTATCTCATTCCTCTGACAGATTTAAACAATCTTATTTCACTTTTGTTTCAGACTTTTTTCCTGCTCCTTTTGACAAACATCAGTACTTACTAGTGAGAGCAAGGCTGGAGCTATAGAAGTGAGCAGGCTCCTTAGAAGGACCCAAACAGGTGTTTTACAAAGGGAGAGCCTTTCAGTTGCTAATGGGGAAGAGAATTCAGGCACTGAGAGAGCTCCTTTGTACAGTGTTCCTCAGGGACAGTGTGTTCTTGGCATTGGATCATCTTCTAGCTGGACAAAGCTAGAAAAAAGCTAGCTACCTGTAAAGCTAGTTACAGGTTCCATTTGCATCAAGGTCCCTCAATCAGCAAGTACTCAGATTCCCTTTAAATAAGTATAATATGAAGCATCATGAAATCCCATCTAATTTTTTTTCAATCACATAGGAGTGATAAAGTAAGAATTTCTCAGGTAGTACACTAGACCTAAACTCCAAAGCAAGACATTACACTGCTGTGGAAGTACTGTAAATTGAAAAAATCCAGTTGTACCCACTGTCAGTGTAATTGACTTCTAAATGGGATCTTTTGTTTCACTTCCCATCTCATCTAACACTAAAGAATTATGTCAGTTGCAAAAAGAACTGGAAGGTGTTTGTTGATGTTGTTCTTACTTGGTCTCCTTCCCAAAGCCCCTGTCACCTGCAGAAACTTATGACAAGTCTCTGCACTAAAATGTCACCTTTGCCAGCTGTTCTGCCAGCTTCTATCATGCCAGGCACTACAGCATCATTGCTCAAAGAGTGATACTCTATAGGAGAGCATCATGCTAGTCTAATATTAAAGCAGTAGATTCATCTTCTTGTGGAAAACTTAAATCACTGAAATTGCAAGAGAGGTGAAGAAAGAGAATCCCAAGTAAAACAAACTAATACTGAATGTCTCAGCATTTAGCAGGGAACCGGAGGGATGTGAAATGCTGCTGTATTTAACTTCTAATGCTTACTGATATTTTCTTTTATAGGCAGCACTGCAGGCAAGGCTTTTCTTTCTTGTAGAAGACAAAGTGACTCATTGTAACAGACTTATATTACAGATCACATACTTACATATCCCCGCTGAAGTGAAAGGATGCTTTAGCTTTTACTGCCCTTCAGCTAAAAGGCACAATTAGTTCCAACAGGAGTGGAAGCATTGTTATGCTGCACCCCAGACCTTAAACAGAAGTTTTCCACTGGGTTTGTTGTAGGCACAACTTCTGTCTTTCTGAAACTTCCACCCTTGATTGACATACATGAAAATTTAAAAATGGCTGAAATATGATGCTACCCTCCACTGTGGTATTTCTTTAGCTTGAATCAAGTCAGGCAAAAATTTTAGTTGTGTGCATAGTTATCCATTGCCAGTTTGACCTTTCTGGCAGGACAGCCTTCCTTAACAGCCCAGATCCCCAAATAGACACAAGACTGAGAGATGCACAGCAAACGTGCTATTTGCTCTAGTCCTTGCTTGTTGTGCAATATGACACAGATATCCCAGTGTACCAGCTCAGGATTGGTCCATGCCCACTAGTCTGAGTCGGCCCTTGGCGTGCCCTTTTTGATCTGTTTAGGGTTCAGGAACATGTGCTGTTGCTGCATCTTCTGCCTTGACCAAATCAGCACTGATTGTCTCAGCATGGAGCCGCTTGTAGTCAGTGTGGAAGAAGATGACGTAGAAACAAGCCATACCACTGCAGAGGCCAGCCAGCACCAGCACCGGAGCTGTGAGAGAGAGACGCTTTTAGTCAGTGAATCCAAAACTTCCCATGGGTGCAGAAATATACAGGTCAAATCCCCAGAACAGCACATTCTGTCTGACCTCCTCAAAAGCGATACCCCTGAGGACAGGGTGCAGACCACAGTGGGACATTACCAGTTTGGTAACAGACAAATCTTGCTTTACCTAACATTAACATAGGAAGAGAATTCAGGCAAAATGTGGAAGGCTTCCAGAACACTGTGTCCTGCATGACCATGTTAGAGGCCTTACAGCAGTGCACACATTGTACTTGTAGGAGTGTGTGTCTCTCCATAAGTGTCCACATTTGTGTCTTGGGGGGTTGTGAAAAATGTTACAAAAGAGATTGAATCAAATCACTTGAGCTCCACAAGGGAACAGGTCCTTACAGGTAGTAATTCTTGTTATATCATCTGAGAGCAAAGTGTAGAAAAATTCACTAAGCATGCACTTTTATTACGGACAAATTAGTGTTTAAAGAATCTTTTCTGAAGGGAAAGAAAAAGTATATCTAAAAGACTATTCCACAAAGCCTGGAAGTGGTTATAATTTCACCAGTGTCCCAAATGAACAATCTTCATCCCTTTCTCCAATGGTTTTCCTGTATGTATCAGACCACAAAAGGAACAGAAGTGTACCTAATCCCAACATCCCACTCTGATCTGATTAAATGGCAAATTGAAGGCTTTCAGAATGAAGCAGTCAAATTGCTTTTTGGGGACAGTTATTATGAAGCCTTGATCCCTTACAGCTAGTAGACTTTATTCTGGGGAGTCTCTGCTCAGCCAAGCAGGATATATTTAATAGGTGATGGTCAGCCTTTGCTTATGGTGTCCCTAGGTGTCAGTATGACATAAACATGAACCACTTGCGAGATCAAGTCTAGGGTTTAGCCTGCACTGAAAACACTTATGTAATCCTGCTCATCTCAGTTGATGGCTCTTCTGACCAGCTAGGAAAGGAGGGGAAATCTGGAATAACTCAGAACAAAGTCATACAAGTATGCTACAATCACAGGCAACTGTGTGTACAGAAGCAAGTGATGTATCTTTCAGTCAAAGCATTTGTAACCTTGGCCTCTGATACGAAAACCAGCCTTGGTTATACTACATGGACAGTGTCTTCACCTCAGAAGAGCTGCTTTCTAGCTTTATGAAACTCAAGTCTCTGCAGGGTGACTGTAAGAGAATTTTAACCCAGAGCTAGCAGTGGCATTCATGGCACCTTAGAGTTCTTTCCATTTCAATCTTGCAGGATCAGTTTAGCAGGAGCAGCAAGGAGTGCACCAACAGATTCAGAAAGGGTGTTAGAAGATACACTACAATTGCATTCAGACTTTCAGAGTTTCTCACACTGAGACCTAGAGGAGAGTGGGGACTACGTGGGGTGCAACAGTGTCCAGTGTTATTTCTCAAGAACATACTTACTTGTCCAGTCCAGGGCTCCATCCTGGTCAAGGGCACAGGTGGAGAATGGATCCTCAGAAACATGGACGGTGAGAGCTTGTAGAAGAATCATTAAAATCACACCCTCAATCTGGCTGTGGGAAGAAGCCAACATGCAGTTATGTTACCTGCCTGAGGTACCAGTGCTGCAGACAAGGCCATCTTCCCCAGCTGGCAGAGAATGATGCCTCTTTCTGGAGCATGGTCCTTCTAGCAGAGAAAGCTACTGCTGGATTCCTCTGCCCCAGATGTTTGGTTAACTGATTCTCGCCAACAGGGTGTCCAGGTCAACTCCAGACACAGGGCCTGTGTGGCAGGATCACTATATATTCCCTCAGAAGGTGAGCAGGTGTTGAACTCCACCTGTCAAAAAACTGAGGTATATTCACTGGGCAGAGACTTGGACACACTTCTCAGTGCAGGACTGAGGATGCAAAAAAGGCTGTGGCTTCAGCCTCCTCCTCATTCACAGCTGACTGGCAGCAGCCACTACATCCACAACCAGTGAGGGACAACAGCCTTCAAAGGCAGTGTCTGATGCCCATCACTGATGTTTCTTGCTGTGGCACCTCCACCTGACACATGTCATCAGATCACTGGTGTCACTCTTTAGAGCTCCAGCAAGTCATTCCTGCTGAAGTCCAGAGCCAGCCCTAGGCACGTAAATAGGTAGGAGGAACAGTCACTGTTCCTCACTAACTGATGAGCCCCATCTCCCTCAACAGAGCACCAGGAACTGACTCATCTCTGTACTCTTGTGGGAATGGATGCCTCTCTCAGGCGTGTAGCCCACATCTGCTTCAAAGGCAGGTGGTGCTGGACATGGTTAACTCATGCTTTGTGCCAACCAAGGGAGGCCTTTATCTTCCTTCTTCCTTTTCTTGCACCTCTTCCACACAGTCCTCCCTGTTTTAAAACATTTAGCTCTTCAACTCTATGGCTCAGCCAGGTAGCTCCCCTTGCCAGGGACATGTGCACAGATAGCAGAAAGACATTCAGCAGGATGGCAAGGACTGATGTCTATGCTCTTCTCTATCTCCACCCACAGGCCACTGTGTGTGTGTGTAAGTGTTGGAACACAAGCTCATCTGTCAATTGGATTTAATCTGCCTGCTTACCTTGCAACAAAAATCAGGCCTGTAGATGTGCCCTCTCCTACAGGGTAGGAGCACTCCACAGCCAGCTCCATGGCAATGGGGTAGATGGCAAAACCAAAGAAACCAAAAAGCGAACTGGTGATGGCCAACATGATGGCCTGATGTCTGAACCGAGAAGTCTGCAGGGAAAAAAAACAATACCAAAGTCTCAATGTTAGCACTGCTGTGCAGAAAGTCTCTGAACATTTAACCTGCAGGATGTCTCAGGGGGTAACTCACCAGTATATTCCCTACCTTTTCCTAAAATTGATTTTTTACTTTCAACCCTCTAGGGTCAACAAAAGGCTACAAAATGGAGAGCTATCTGTTGAACTGAAGTAAGGAGAGGATCAGCAGAATTATCTGAAAAGCACTGGTGTGTGGTTGTACTGCAGTAACTTGACTAGTCAGTAGCTTACCAGGAGCATGTTCAACATCTCTCTAGGGCCAAACACACACCTTTGTCCCACAGCAAAGTAACATTTTGGAAATGATGTTTGCATTAGGTTACTTGTGAGAATTCTGGGATGCTGCCGCTCAATGGTAAGGAAAATCAGTCAGACATGCATTTGTAACACAGGGATTTTAACATCAAAAGACCCAAACAAAAAAGCAAAGAAACACCTGAAATATTAACAAAAGCTGGAGACTGGATTAGTACCTAGAATAGCCTTGTCCCTAACTCTGGAGGAAAGAGCATGACCTTGTCCAGCCAATTCTACTAAAGATTAAGTACTTTGCAGCCATGCTGCTGGTACCTCCTTCCCTGACCATGTAATAAATTCACACAGAGGAACACAGGGTGTCTGTCCTGGCACAGCAGCAAGCCTGACCCAGCTAAACTGGTTAAGTCAAGGAAAACTCCATGTGTCTGGAATCTGAGTTCAAAATGCAAAGGGATCAAACAGATTTGAATGGGTGATTTTTGTTCTACTACTTTGAACTAAAAGTTCATCTGTATGGGATGAAGGTGAGGAGGGAAGGGCAAGAGGAATATTTTGTTTATTGCTCCTAACACAGCCTTTCACCTACTCAGTTCTTTACCTGAGTCCAGACAAGCTGACTTGTATTCAGATCATCCTCCAAACAAATGCCAGAATATGAAAGGGGAAAATGCAAGGTGCGCTTTAGGCACATTGTCCTACATTGACAAAAGCATCGCATTTGTCTATCTTTTCCAAATAGAGCTACCATCTCTGGGGTCTTAGCCCCAGGGAAAGTGTGATCATTCTCTTGTGAAAGTCTGGATTTTTCATCACAGAAGAGAAACATACAGCATAAGACTGCTGGGAAATCAGAGATCTGCACCGTTCTGGGTCTTCTGCAGTGCTGTGTGTCGTGATCAGATTCCTGCTGTGTGACGGCTCCCACTGGCAGTGGCTGTGCTTGAGCAGCTGTACCCTGGCCCCACGGGTGTAAAGTCTCCAGGCTGTGCATTCCTCTCCTGGCTGAATTCAAGCGTCCTCCTCTTCTGCCTCCCTAGTCCCTCTCAAGGAACTACTTCAGAGCTAGAATATAACTAGGTCCTTTCTGCTAATGCAACAACCCTGACAGCCACCACTGTTAAAGGCAGGTGCTGGAAAAACATGACATTCTTGTAAATTTTTTGTGATAAAAATACTTAGGAATTCCCTTTCCTTTTTTGAAAGAATGGTCTCAGGAGTCAATAAGCAAACATGATGGACCAGAATAGGGAAGTAAGATTATGCCTGTTTATCTATACCACAATATATTATAATATATATTTAATAATATTATTCAGTCTGTCCCAGGTGCCACAGTGACTGTCAAATGCTCAGTAAAGGGTTCTTCTTTAAAACTAGCCCAAAGAGGTAATCCCAAAGTGTAACACAGGGCTTAACACTATGACATCAAACGACCTTGGTTTAAGTTGATGATTTATCACATGGCAATATGTGATAAATAAGCCCATGGGAATGGCACAATGCAAGGAAGAACTCACCACGGCGAACATGATGCTGGCAAGTGCACTCAGACAGAAACTAATCTTGGTGGACTCTATGAACTTCCTTGTCCGGTCGACATACATGCCTAGCAGGAAAGCACCCAACAAACCACAGACTGTGAACAGTGCACCATTCAGGCCAGCAAAATCCTGGAGGGCAGAAGAATAAGTATGAGAAACTAAAGCAATTAGGAAAGAGGTTTCAATGTCACTGACCCATCTGCCAGCTACCAGTGGTTCACTTACTGAAGTAGGAAAAGCTTTCTTGCCCATTGCAGTAGCTGAGGCCTTCACAGGGCTCTGAGCAGCAAATGACAAGAGTCAGGGTACTTCTACAAGTGTGTGGGGACAGCGGGGTGACAGCACTCCCAAAGAATGACAAGTCTGTACACCTGACAAGGGAGGCTGGATGCAGAGCAAGAGCAGTTCCCTGGCATTAAGTATTCCAGCCTGGAGCCACTGGGCTCTTCCAGGGGCAGTCAGGTGCTTTGTCCACACTGGTAGCAACAGGCCCAGCTACCTTGGGACCTGCTGATGCTTATAATTATCTTCCTGGCCCTTTTCTTACCAGGAATCTGCACTGGCAAACCCAAAGCATGTTAGAGGAGACACTGGCTGTGTCAAAGTCTAATTAGAGAGGCAGCGAGCAGTGGCTAGGATAGGGTACATGCTCTGTTGCCTGTAGTGATTGCCCTTTGCTTGCAGCACTTCTTCAGCTCCATAAGAATTCAAACACAGACAGCAATCCTGAAAGCAGAGAAGCTTTTAACAAATTTGGAAAAACATTTTTGGGACCCTCAGGGGCACTGGAAAGAAAAGGTATATGGAATAGCTTCTCTGGGCTAAAGGGCCAGGACAAGCCAGTCACACAGAGACAAAATCATGATGCACAGAAAGCAAAGTTTAAGTGGTCTCAAATTAAGAGCCAATGGAATGTACAAAATGTGACCTGGCTATGGAGCCCTGAGCCAGCTAGCAGATCTGGGAGCTGAAGATGGGGTGGACAGAGACCAGACATGTAAATGTGCATACGTAACAGCTGGAGAGGTGTTTTAAGAGGACCCTCATGGCAATACAAGCACCAGGACTGAAGTGCAGCCTGCTGAGAGGAAGCACCTGAAATGGGGGATCCTCCTAATAAACAGGAGGGAGAGAGCAGCAGGAACCAGATGTGCATATACAGTGTTGAACTGTAAAAGCACCTGCTGGTGTCATGAGAAGGCTAAAGAAATAGCTTACACAGTACCACTGACCTCTTCTGCTGCCCTGGCTTCATGTAAATCTATGCAAAGTGGAAAAGGTGCTTGCATCAGATGGTCTCCAGCCTCACTCTAGGGCCTACCTGGGCCCCATTCTACTCTGGAGTAGGTGGCAGAAGGCTGTATAGACAGCAGTGCTCTGGAGTGGCTTAGAAAAATCACAATATTCTTTTTTCCTAAAAAAATTTTTCATTTGCAAGTGGGAGCCTGGTCATGGGGATTAATGAAAATACAGGTCATCTATCATACTAAGAGGTTGACCATGTTCTGGGTTAATATGTATTAGAAAACATGAGCAAATAAGATATGAGACTGCAGCATATTCAATTGTCTTAATTTTTCTCTGAGTCCTTTATAAGGGAAAATCGATTTGATTGTATCACAGACAATGTGGACAATGGGGAGAAAAGGAAGAAGACTCACATTTGAATACCCCTTTTCACAAAGGATCTGTTCTAGTAGAGCTGAAAAGCAGGTGAACATCCCAATTCCTCCTCCAAAACACACTGCCAGGATGATATATGGTTTGTTTCTCAGGAGCTATAAAAAAAAGTTAATGTTAATAAGTGGAAGAAGAAAAAGTCCTGGCTGTGACAGCAGACTTGAGGGCCAGCAGCTCTGACTCCTCAGCTGAAAATGCTGACAAGGTGATGTCATGTGACCCCATGATAATTGACGAAAATATGGCTTTGTCCTTTCATTTCAGCCAGAGGACAAGTTACAGTGAGGACCATGTAGGGAGGAAGGAACTCTTCAGTGCTCAAATTTTTCCTTTGCTCTGCCATGTACTTTCCTACTTCTGTTCAGAAGACCCAGGTTCCTCATGGATAAGCCCAAGTCTGCCTACTGAGGTCTGCCTTGAGCTATCTGAATGGCTGCCAGTCCACGGCTGAATGGTCCGATAGCATCTCTTGCAGCTTTGTTGTGAGCAGGTTCCACTCCCTGAGAAGGAAAGCATCTTGAGCTCCTTCAAGGGGCTTTCCATGGCAGGTTTGGGGGCATGGCATTCAGAATCTGCTTTGTAAGCAGATCATTCAGCATATCCCCATCTTATAGGGCTGCATCCTTCACTCCAGCATGTCAGTCCCTATGCTGTAGCACTTACCATTTTGAGCCCTGTGAAGAATGGCTGTGAGTTGGAGTTAGTGGCACTGGCTGATGGAGGCGTTGGCGGGACCTTCTCGTGAATCCCCAGAGTTGCTAGAGCACAGGCTGTTACTGCTGGGACAGCATAAATACCCAGCTACACAACAGAAAGACAAGACAAATTACCAGTCTTTCCAGCTCCACTACCTCCAAACAAATAAATCAGCTGGACCCAAATCAGCCCTGCTGACTGATTAAAGCAGTTTTCATTTACCATCAATGGAATGTGCTTTCCTTCAGGAACTAGTGCAGGTGACAACAAGTTTGCTATAAGAATGCCCAAGGGATTGGCTGGAAGGAAATAGAAGAGAAACATTTTTTTTCATGCAAGAAGCCAGAATCATGTATCCACCCCTATTGCCTGCCAGTGCTACAGCTGCAGTGCACAGCACTGTAAGGAATAAGGACGAAACAAGGCATATATAGGGAGAACCAGGAGGGGAACATTTGGAGAAGCTGACTGTGTGGTCTTAATATTGCCATATCTATTGTCTCACCCCCATGAAATCCATTCTATAAAACTATCTCACTTCAACTCCTAACTCCTGTAAAACATTTTCCAGCTATGGACTATGATGTCCTCACCCTCTCAAGGCTGTCTCAGTAAATCTCAAGCTGAAGGGACAAAACTAAAACTGGCAAATCCATTTCATCTGTCCTGGACATAGCAGGAGTTACAGAGGTTTTTTTCCTTCTGTATTTCCCTATGCCATTAGGCATGTATACAGTGTGTAGAGGATTCCCCTGCTCAAGGGTGAACAGCCATATCTCTCTTAGCCTCTGCTGCCATGACAGATGCTCCATACCCTTAATTGTCTTAGTGGCTTCTTAACTGCACTTACACTAATACGCCCATGTCCTTCTTATACATAGGAATCTACAACCAGATACAGCTCTTCAGATGTCGACAGGAGACCTCCCTCAAGCTGCTAGCAATGCTCTTCACGAGGGTCACCAGGATGCTGTTATTTTTCTTTGTTAAAAGGCCATGAACAGCACTCTGAAGTGACACTATGTCATTCCTGAGACCTTTCAAGCCTTCATACACCCTTTGCAAAGGCCAGGCAGGTAAACAAGCTGATCCCTGACACAAATTACAAAAATTATATGGCAGCAGAGAATCTTGCAGACTTTGTACAGGAGGAGGCACTTGCATTATTATGGGTCTGGAGTTCAGCTGTGTTTGAAGCAGCACTCCTGGGACTCAGCTTGGGAACATCCAAAATTGCAGCCAACAAATTTTTAATGTTAAGGCAGCATTCTGCAAGTAGTCAAACAGTAAAGCTGTTTTTCTACTAGTGTACAGGGATGGAATTAAGAAAGCCAAAGCCAGCCTGGTGAGTCTGGTGAAGGGCAATGAGAAAGGCACCCTTAAGTACTTTAGCAGCAAAAGGGAAGTTAGAGAAATGTGGTCCTGTTGCTGAATGGGGTAGGACACTCAGTGATAAAGGACACAGAAAACATCAAGGTATTCAATACCTACTTCACATCTTCTGTGATTGGTAAGTCTGACTTTCAGCTCTGAGACCAGAGCTAAAGCTTGAAGCAATGAAGATTCACCCTCAGTGGAGAAAGACTAGGTTGGAGAACATTAAATAAGCCAGACACACACAAATCCATAGCATTGACAGGATGCATCAGAGCTGAAGCAGCAGATTGTTTCTATTGCAAGGCCGTTTCTGGTTACCTTTAAAAAACCACAGAGGCTCCTGAGATTGGAAGAGCGCAAATGTCACTCCCATCTTCAAAAAAGAACAAGAAGGAGAATCCAGGGAACTTCAGGCTTTTCAGTCTTACTTTGTTCCCTGGAAAAGTCATGGAACACTGCCACCATTTCCAGGCACATGAAGGATGACTTATGAAAAATGCTTAACTTAAAGCATTTAAGAAAAACACTTAACTAACCTGGTAGCTTTAATCAGTGAAATGGCTGCTGGATGGATGAGGAAAGAGCAATTTGACACTGTATCCACAACAACCTTGCAGACAAGCTGATAAAGCACTGTCTAGACAACTGAACAGTGAGATGAACTGAAATCCAGCTGAATGGCTGGGCCAAGAGGATTGTCATCTCTGACATGAAGACCAGCTGGAGGCCCATCATCAGTGGTGCACCCCAAGGGTTGATACTGGGGCCATGCAGTTTGGATGACAGGACAGAGTGCACCCACAGCTAGTTTGCAGACAATGTGACACTGGGAGGAGTGACTTGCAGAAGAGATGGCAATGCTGCCACTCAGAGGCACTGCAACAGACTGCAGAAATAGGCAGAGGGGAACCTTGTGAAGTTTGACTACAGGAAATACAATATGCTGCACCTGGGTATGAATAATAACTCATGCACCAGTACCCCTTGAGACTCAGCAACTGGAAAGCAGCTCTGCAAAGAAGGACCAGAGGAGGAGTGGGTAGGGGGGTCCCGGTGGACACCAACTTGACCATGAGCCAGCAACACAGCCTTCTGATAAAGAAAGCCTCCACAATCCTGGGCTCAGCATTAGGCAGTGTTGTCAGTGGGAGCTGGACTTCACTCTCAGCACTAGCAAGTCGACATCTGGAGAACTGTGAGCAGTTCTCAGGTTCCCAGTGTGAGGAACTCATGAATTTGCAGGTCCAGAAAAGAGAAAATATGATTAGAGGACCAGAGCTTCTGTGAGGAGACACTAAAAGAGTTGGGATTGATCAGCCTGGAAAAGCTGCTGGAAAGCAGTTTTGCAGAGAAGAATGTCAGGTCCTGGTGGATTGCAGGTTGACCATAAGCCAGCAATGCATCCTTGAAGAAAGGTGTCCAACAGCATGCTGGGCTGCATGAGGAGGAGCAGGTGGAAGATCCTGATCCTCCTCCTCTACTAAGCCCTGGTGAGAAACAGAGTGTCAAGTCCAATGCAGGGCTCCTTCTCCAAGTTAGTGGAGAAAGTTCAGTTAAGGGCCAAAAACATGATTAAAGGTCTGGAACATCTCTCATGCCTAAGGAGGCTGGGACAGCTGGGACTGGTTAGCCTGGAGAAAAGAACATTGATCTGCAATTATAATTAAATATAATAAATAATAAATATAATTTAAATGATGGAACCAGACTTTTCTCAGTGGTTAAGTAAAGCTTAACACAGAAAACGCTACCTGAATATAAACTAAATTACTGTGATAGCTGTTTAGCACTGAAACAAGATGCTCAGATAAGCTCCTACAATGCCATCCATGGAGATAATCAAAAACTGACTCAACATATACCAGGGGCAACCTGGTCTAGACAAACCTGGTTGAGCAGGGGGCTAGACAAGATGATCCCAAGAGGTGCCTTCTACCCCTGACTGTTCTATAATGATGTTGAGGTACCATTAATAATCCTATAGCACACAACTCTAGCATTTCTACTCTGTGTTTGGGAAAGTACTAGCTTATGATGCTGGTGAAATATTACCTACTTCTAAGTACATGGAAACAATCAAACAGCAGTTTCCAAGGAGATGGATTACATCTTCTCTGTTGGTGTCAAATGCAACTGGGCGTTGTAGGGGACAGCCTGTAAACTATTCAGCTGTTTCCATGAACTATCAACTTGCTGAAGCAGTTCCAGAAAGTGTAGATGAGGGTTGGAAAGGTATAGGTGGGCATTGGGCTAAATTTGAAAGGACTGAGATCACCTGAGTAATTACATGGTTTCAGTTGCCTGCTTTTCCTAGGAAGAGCTATTACCTGGCCTAGATGATGAATAGAAAGGAGGTCACTGAATTAATCAACTACACATTACGACCCATGGGTCCTGGTGGGCTTGCTTGCAGTACTCTGCAGTGGGGCTGTGTGTTTTGTGGTCAGTGATGCTGATGCACTGAAACTCTTCAGAGTGCAGAAAATGACAAACCATGACAGACCTCAGTAAATGAAGACTCCTATGGATGAAGCAGAGATCACTTCACTGGACTCAGACAACTCTTTCTACTTCTTACAAAGGAGAATTTCTTGTGATCTGGGAATGAGTTTGAGTTCTTGGCCCTGCACTGCTTCTCTCTGAGTAAGCCTCTACAAGTGATGGGTAGAACAAACACTCATGAGCTGAGTGATTAATCATTTTGACAGCTGAGTCATAGTAATTTCAGCTGCTCAGCAGGATCCTGGGTGCAAGGTTTATATTTGTCACAAAAGCCCAGGGAAGCCTACCCATAGGCATTAACAGTAGGAGGCTGTAGAGCCAGTTTCTGTATGCAGCACTGATACTGACAGTACTGAAATGCTGAGTGCTGCTCAGCATTAATTACACAGGAAGTGGGAACTGATAAATTGGAGCAGGATGACACAAAAAGCTCACATCAGCAACAGGAAGAATGGAGACAAGTGTGAAGAAGCAAAGGGAAATTTGTCTGTAAAGTGGCTGAGTGGGAGCCATTCAGTCTTTCAAGAAAAGGAAGAGCTGATTCTGTCCATAACTACCTGACAGACAGGTGCAACAAGACGAGGCATAAAAAGCATTGAGATGTTTACATTTGCCATGAGCTAATTAACCACTGGATTAAACAACTGGGGCTGTGGTAGATACTCCTTCCAGACAGTATTTAAATTTTCTTGAAATTAAATCCTGATATTGTTCAGCAAGACATTATGGATGTAACCAGGCATTATTAATGAAAGTCTTCCATAGAGCAACACGCAGGTGTTGCAGCAGACAAAAGTCATAGCCTACTCAGCCTGCACTCTGACATCCCAAAATGCCAGACACTGAACAGCTTCAGGTCTCGGGATTCCACTCTTCATTGCTCTTCAGGTTTGTTCTTTGTCATAGATTCATTTGGCTCTGTAAAGACTGAGGATGCTGTGTGAACAAAATGCTCTGTAGCTTCTCAGGCCGCTCTCTCACTTATAAAGAGCACTTTGTTTGCAGGCTTTGTTCCTTCAGGGCTGTGAAGCACTGAGTGCCCAGTGGTCCTTGGTAGTGCTTGTATCATGCCACACTGACAACAGAGCTCCTGCAGTGGGGAAGGTGAAGGTCTGTCTCAGCACTGGAAAACCAGGTGAGTCATCATATCCATCCTATTCTAGGAAAAGCAGTGCAAAAATAATTTATTTGTTCAGACACCATAGACCCATTCTTGCTAAACAACGTCTACGCGCTAGTCTAGCAGCAGCATTGTAAAAGCTGCATAGAGGTGCTCTTCTTTCCCCATGCCTCGCCCTTCCTTAAAGCTTCAAGGCAATGGGGAAGGAAGGCAGCTGCTGGCTTTTGAGAGAAGGATAGATGGGGCTGCCACACACATGCAGGTAGCATGAGGCTTCACAGCTGGAGCCAGTGAACGAGCCCAGTTTCTGGAGCACCTCTCAAGTCCTTGGAGAGAAGAGGAAGATAATTATTTGGCTGCTAGATAAAATGTCCCATGAAGGGAGGAAACAGGTCTATCAAGTGCAGTATCCTGTCTCTATCTGTGCCCAAAGGAGCCAAGACAGGAATGTGATTAGAGCAAGCTTATCTGGTGCCTCTCCTCCAGTTTCCCAGCTTCCAGGCACTTAGCAAGGGAGGTGTGCTTTCTGCATGGAGAGCCCTGCCATTTAGCATCCCCAACATGTTTGTGCAGACAGACAAGTATATTTTATCTGTGTATGCATACATACCAATTAAGAATACGTGCTCAGCCTTCCTACTGGATGAACTGATGGGCAAAATTGCCACAGCAGCCTCACCTCACCTTACTTCACCTCACCTCACCTCACCTCTATCCAGTTACAGAATCTGGCAACTGTGACCATTGGCACTACAACGCAATTTAAGACCTTCCTATGAAACTGCAAAATTAAGGCCTTTAAAGACTTAGTAACATTAAGGGCTATCACCTATGTGATATTTAGGCAAAGATGACAACATGGTCCTGGAAGAGAGGCAGGAGGTTAGGACTCTGGGTGGCATATACTAAGCACTATTGCTGGATGCGGCTTATACCCCCTTCTTGTTCACTTGTTTTGTTGCATGTGACTACAAGACTCTTGAGCCGATCTGTATTTGCACAGGCAAATGGCTGTAGTACAAAGGACTTCCCATGCCTGCTGCCTCTGAAAGGCAAACAAATTTCTAGCAAGTTACATGAGGCAGCAGTATCACTCTGAAGCTATCACTTACACATTGATGCAATCATATTTGCAGTTGCTCTCTGGTGGTCTGGGAACCATAGTGCTGCCAGCTTTGTTGGTGAAAAGATGATAAGAGGCTGTGCTAATGCACAGAAGCATTGTCCAATAAACAGGTACCAGTAATTCCAGGAACCCAAGCTCAGGAACTTCAGAACACTGAACATCCGAGTGATGCTACCAACCATGTTCAGCCATGCACTCAGGACCACCTGCAGTGAGCAGAAACAAACAGGTTTTGTGTGCTGAAGCCTGAAGGGCAGAACTTAACACAATAGATTGGCATGAGCAAGGTCTTAAATGCACTACAGGAGAGTCTGGGTTTTAGCAATCACTGCCTGCAGACCATCCCCACCCCTCTGGGCAAGATGCTCCTGATCCTACCCGCCCCCTTAGGGAGTGTCTTGGGGTGATAGGGAGCAAGGTGGCTCCCTGAAGAACCACATTGATGAGAAATATGAAGTTCACTAATTACACCTATTGTCAGGCTTGCGCCATCACCCATATTTTGCTGAGACAATCCAAAGATCATGGCAATGAATCATCCATCTTAAGGATCCTACAAATGTTCTTCTATTATAATGCTAGTGTTTCAGTGCTGTATTCCACAACACAATTCTGGGATTGTGCAGAGATCGCAAGCTGGCTCAGCAGAGACCAAGCTCTGACCAGAGGGGTCTCTCGCTTGCATTCCATCCTGCTACTCTTTAAACTGGCCCTGCCAACGAAATTGCGGTGCTAAGACTTTTCCCAAATCTGACCCAATTACACAAAGCTCTTCACAGAGTCAGCTCACACTATCTGTCCCTGTCAGTTAGCTAAGACAACTAAAACTAAAGCTGGAAAAGACAAGCAGGCAACTTTATTCTGATTTTTCCCACTGCTCTCTCCATCATCTCCACAGAGGTGATGTTACTGAACTAGCACAGAGATCTAGTGGATTCTCTGCAGGATTTGGCAAGACCCCTATTCAAAGCACGTACATTACTGCTTTGTGCATCTACTGCTACCTCTAGGTGAAACTTCCTCAGGGAAACAGAACACTTCAACTCACAGCACAGCGGAGCCCCACACTGTCGAGGACCCATGTTGCCACCAGACCAAATGGGATTGAGATGAGGAGGTACACCATTGAGAGCCAGTTGACCATCTCCAGGGAAATATGGAAGTAAGCAGCTGTCTTATCAGCCACAGGAGCAAACGTCAGCCACAGCTGCAAAACAAGTACCAAGAATGGGTAAGCAGGAACACCTCCAACAGAACAGTAATTCACCATCCCATCAAACTGAGTTGAGAGGAGGCTCATTGTCTTAGTCTCTCCTTGAAATTGTGATGTTAAGGCTGGTAATAAAAGTTCAAACCCTCAGTGTCTGCAGTTACTCGACCCAGAGCACCCCATACATTTCACTGCCTCATCCCCAGTCCCCTAGTCCTAATGCTGGAGGCTGGCAAAAGCAGCCAGCCAACCTTTTTCTGCCCCCATGTTGAACAGGTTGGCCCTGACACACACACTTACCTAATGGAAACCACATGGACTCATTCTGTGTTAGCAAAAACAAAATAGAATCTGCAGTCTTCTCTCAGCAGCTAAGGTTTTGGACTGACATTTTCAGTTCCATTTGTAACACTTGTATGTGGCCTTCTAAGAACAAATTCACTGTATGTCAGCCAAGAGATAAATTATTCCCTGCCTTCCTAGACACACTCAACAATTAGAAAATGATCCAGAGATTGCATTATTTAATGTATTAGAACACATAAGAGGGAGGTACACACAGAAGACATACTTCAATAAGTATCCACATTTTCCTTCCAGTGCCATATCTGATCACAGCTCCTCAGACTTTGTTTTAGACACTGATTTCATGGTTCCTGTCTACTTCTGGTTTCTTATGGGAATGATGAGAACTCCTTGATCCTAAAATCAGGTTCTGAGATCACATCCACAAGAAAAAAAAAAAATGAGGTGCTACAAGTTAGAGGATGTTTCTGTGGATTCTTTGCCAAGATGCATCCTGGTGCTTTTCAAAAAGACTGGTCTAACCTCTCAAATGGCATAACCATTCAATAATGTTGATTACAGGTTACCTCACTGTTAGAAGAAGACCTTGCTGCAGCTGAATACTCAAGGTTATAGAGTTTGCAGAAATGTGGACAAAACAGTTCACATTCCTTCAAAAGAAAAAAGCTTCAGTTATAGCTTCCTAGGAAAGAACTCCAGCCATAGATGCCTTTCAGGTAGTCCCCTCTGTCCTCACAAGCTTCCTCTTCACAGCCTGCAACCTGCAGCAGTGATGTTCATGTGTAACTGGAAAAGGCTTGGGTAACCTCAGAGGAAGGTGTGCTCCTACAAACTGCTTCTTGCTACTTCCAGTGTTCCTGGATTTATTTATTTTTTTTCTTACATGACAGGGACCATAACTACCACATTAGACAGGAGCAGAAGGGGAGATGGAGTTTTCTTCTCCCTAGAGTCACTGGGTGACAACAGCCAGATGCAAATCATTCTTTAGCTAGGTTTTTCACCTAGCAGGGATGCAATGAGTAAGTGGTAGTAACAGAGAAGTTTTGAATATATTCTTAGCAACCTTGCAAGGACTCCTAGCATTAGCTCTTTCTTCTCCAAAGGAGCTGCCATGCTCTATCTCCTGTACTCAGTTCAAATCAGCATGTCACTATGTGACATCATTCAAAGATCTGGTAGGGGATGGATTTGGTGTTCACTCAGCTTCTACAGTCAGGTGAATGAAGATGCTAGGTGCTGAGGGAAACTGTAGTCTTAGACAACAAGGAGGCTAATCCAGGTCACTTTCCAGACTTCCATCAGACTGGGATGGGAATTTAAATGTTTAATGCTAATGTAACTGTTTAGATGTTACAAGCATTACTAAGGCATGAGCATTAGTTTGCTTATGGGATGCTAAACAGCTGCCAAACAAATCCCAGCTGTTTATTTTCAGCAATAGCACTTCTGGGTTCCCCAAGGCCTTCCACCAGGGGTGGTGGTGATGAAACACTCTACCAGGAAACACTGTAATTAAAGAGAGTATACATTTTGTCAGCCAGCTTCAGGTACATTTTCACCCGTCCTGCTTCTCTACACAACATGCTCAACCATTCATTACATCATTAGGAAAGTGATGTCACAAGCCAGAGCACAGCATTTTCTGTTCAGTGACTGTATGCATCTAGGTGAGCTGGGATCAAGAACTGGCACAATTCCACTACATCTAGTAAAACTATTTCTTGCTGAAAACCAAGCATAGGGGCTGACCCATATTCCTATCCTGAACTCCAGTTCTAGCATAACTGTGTGAGAGCATGGAGGGTGGAAAGTTGCAGCTTGTCCAAGACTGAGCTTGTCTCTCAAAATAGGAATTGGGTTTATTTATGGAACTGGAGAGAAAAAGTATGTTTTGTTGTTTACCATGTGTTGCTCTAACAGAGAAACTCAGAACTGGGCAGTGGAGCTCAAGATGCAGCTGTAGTCAAAAAGACCACCAAATGCCCCTGCAACAAAGAGGGGGCATTGTGGCGTTTTGCCTACACAGGTAAATACACAGTCAGTATGCCACCTTCCGCTTTTGATTTTCCCAGTTTTGGTAACTTCATCCACTGTAGTTAATAAACTCTTCTGCTGGAAGCTAGAGCCCCTATCCAGCATGTTTTTCTGAAACTTTGCCTTGCCAAGGCTGGTGCTTATACAGGGGCTGCCCTGAGGTAAGCCCCCTCAGAGAGAACAGGTAAAGAGATGCAGCTTGGATAGGTCAAAGTCCTGTAAATTCCAAAGATGCAGAATAGGGACAGAGAGAGGTTCTGCCCTCCACCACTCCCCAGGGGCCATTGTCTTCACTCATCTTTGGCACACCAAAAACACAGAATCACAGAATGACAGAATATTCTGAGATGGAAGGGCCCTACAAGGATCATCACGCCCAATTCTTAACTGAATGGTCTGTGTCAAAACTTCCCACTGTAGATGACAGTGACAGATGCAAAGGGAAAGAGAATGTGTGGGGTTACAGGATGTCAGACCCCAGAAGCTTGCTTCTTCTGGGACAGATAAAGAGATACCTCTGTCCTTGCAGGGTTGTTCAGCCCTTGCAATTTTCAGTCCCTGCATAAGTTTCACTTTGTGGAAAGTGAAGCTTGCAGTCTGGTCAAACTGCATGCAGCTCCATTTCCTGAGAGGCCACATAAAACCAAAGCCTCAGTGTCAGTTACAGAAGGCATCAAGATGAGTCCTTGTTACACACTGCACTGCTTCATCTGTGCTCACATGCACTTCTCCAAAGGAAGCTCAATAGATGCCACAATGTCAATTCCTGACTGTAATGCTGACAAGCAATTTTCACTCACCTTCAAAGCCTTGCCAGTGCTACAATTAATGAAAAACTTTCAGCAAATTTTGCCAAAATTCTCAACTTAGCACAAGTTGGAGTGGATGATGATGGAAGTCAGCAGAAGCTCATGCTCTGGGCCATTGTATATTAATCAAGAGCCTTACACGGAAGCCCATGAAGAACCACTAAATCACAGGGACTCTTTGCAAGTCAAAAAGCCTCAATGAGTTTGAGCTCAATTCTGAGCTCCATCCCCTGACACTTGTCAAAACTGACTTCCCTAGCATTCTCTCACAGATTTTGCATTAGCTGTTTTCAAATTACAGCTCCTTGTGTAGCATAAGGAGCTGTAATTTAAATAAATTACCATAATTGGAAATAAATAAATAAATAAATAAATAAACACATAATTAAATAAATAAATATCCTTGGTTATTTCAGGGATGTTTTAGATCACAGTTGCTCCTTCAGCATTTGGTATGGACGTTTCCCTCCTTTCAGATATGCATCTAGCAGGACTTTGGAACAGCCAGCATAATAATAGACACTGTTTCTTCTCCAAAGGCAGGAATTTTAGTTCCTACACGCCTCTTCTGAGCTCAAACATGCTCATCTCATTGTGGTTTCTAGGTTTGAAGACAGCAAAAGCTCCAGTGCATGCTAGTCTGGTCTGGAAGACATACCTCAGCACACACTCTTCACAATAAAAACTTGTGCTCGGCAGCTGAGGAAGAGGACAGAAGGGCCCCTGATGATCCATAAGCCTGTTCTGGCTTGCACTGCAGTACAGCTTTAACTCTCACTGCACACAGCTGGCTGGCGGGCTGGGGAGCCATGCCCCAACACCGGGAGAAAAGGACATAAATGTTTTCCACCCAGAGTCTACTCATATCCTCAGTGACAGGAGGGCCCCTCCACACCTTATAACAGCAAAGCTTTCACCAGGGCCAGGACAGTGACACTCAAACTATCTGACTGATGTTGGGAATGGTACCGGCTCCACTTTCAGCTCTCTTGCCCTCTGCTTTAGTCTTCTTCTAGCTGACATTTTAATTCTCCTGCACCTTCCAAAGACTGCTTGGTCCCTTGTTCATTAAGTGAGACTTAATCTCCATTAAAGGTGGCTGAAAAGAGAAGCATCTTCATGCCTCTATATGCCTTTTCACAAGGTATATACAGGTAAAACCATTTGGAATGGATTTAAAAACGGGGAGGGTAGATCTAGATTAGATATTAGGAAATTTACTGTAAGGTTGGTGAGGCACAGGAACAGGTTGCACAGAGAGATTATGGACTATCCATGTCTGGAGGTGTTCAAGGTCAGGCTGTATGAACAACTTCATCTAGTGGAAGGTGTCTCTGCTCATGGCAGAAGGATGTAACTAGGTGACCTTTAATATCCCTTCTAGCCCATAGAATCATTCTATGATTCTATGATCATGATCCTATGACAATCGAAGGGTATGGGCATTCCTGTAATCAAATCTGGCAGGTACAGCCCTGCCAGAATCAGTTCCTCACAAAGGGCAAGCTGGTAATCAATGCCTACTTTCCTCATGAACAAATCAAGATTCTGAAAGTGGAAAGCAAAATATTTGCAAAAAGGCAAATCAGGCAGGGCGGGAATCAGGCCACTTTCCCATGTGAATGGTAGTATCAGCTACCAAAAGTTCCTATATGGAGTGCTTTTCATTGTCTGGCATACTGTATAGCTGACTAGACCCTGGAAATGGCCCTGCAGTACCTTTTATGTACAGTTTTAAAAAGAGGAGCCAGTGGGGTTGTCTTGCATGAAACGGGAACTTCTGCTTCATAATAGGCAGCAGCACAGCTTGCCAGTCCCAACATGGGCTTTGCCTACAGCAATTCTGCCAATTCCAGCATGCTTTCTTTCATGTATCTGAACACCACTTACAAGGTGATGTGAGATGTCTTTCTGTGACATGGATGCTGCCTTTTTCTCCCCTGAGACTGGATG